AGTATATTCAAAAGATACAGAACAAAACCATTCTAATAATTTGTAATTAATATAATGTGTTGAAATGAAGAGAGTAATCAAATACAGACAAATTTAAAACGCGGCCTATTCCGCTTCACCTCCTATTGCCGTAAAACCCACATGGTCTCCCAATCTGTTTCGTAAAACTTGGAAATATGCGAATAAATATACAATTTTATGGGGCTCTATTACTCCAAAATGTTGTGTCGTAAAAATAAGATCAGTTTCGTAAAATTTGATCCACTAATAATTACTTAAAATATCAACAAAGTTGACTATTATTTTCTTATTGATGCCGAAAGCCAGCTATGCTGGTACTACCAATTTGTTTCGTAAAACTTAAAAATTTACAAATAAATACACCATTTTATGGCGCTATGTTACTTCCAAATGTTATGTAGTGAAAATAAGACTGATTTCGTAAAATTTGATCTAATAGTTATTTCTTAAAATATCAACAAAGGTGACTATTATTTTTAATTACACCTTATGTAAGAATCCTGGGTTTTGATTGGTTGATAGCCAGTGTATTTTTCACCAATTTACTTTTATCAAATGAATATCGTTCATTTTTAAACAGCGCCGGGGTATATGCAAAAAGAATATGCCTTTTTTACCCTCTCTGCCGTGTAATTTGCCAAAAATACTCTATCCGACTGGACGCTTGTAATGTCACGATCATCAATGCGTTTTATGTCACGATCATCAATGCGTTTTGTACGTTAACATTCGGTGTAATTAAACAGATATAGCATGTTCTTGAGGGGTATATGCGAAATTTAACATTCTCTCCACTGGTATTTTTCGCAAATACCCCTCCTTAACATTATATATCTGTTCAATATCTATCATGTCTATAAGCCAGCTATGCTGGTACCCTACTTTTGTAAAAAAAAACTTTTTACCCTTTCAGGGGTGTAAAAATTTCATTGTTCTTTTAAAAGTGGAAGTAAAATGTGATCAAATAAGGTATTTTCTTTTCTTTTTTTATATCAAACCGGCGTAATATTAAAGTTGTTCATGGACAAATTTCCGTAAATTAGCCCTTCGTTTTTGCGCACTATGAAATTTATATCCTGCATTTTGTTGGCCAAATTATTCATTTTTCATCCTATTTAGGGCATGGTTATTTATTTTCAGTTCTTACAAAGCCAGACTATTCCCATTCAATATCCTCCTGGCCCCCAGAATATTTGTGAGGCGATTTTTAAATAAAAGTTTCAGAATTAAAAATTCTTAATCTGTATAAAAATCACTTTTTTTTCCAACCAAATTTGTGGCTTCTTTTCCGTTGTCGTCATGACATCATAGCATAGAAATGAGCAAAATGAAAGATACATTTGTATTTTTATTTCGAATTGCTGTTGTATGCATACATTTTATATGTTATCATGTGTTACAGCCTAAATTGTCCGTCTTACATGGCCTAAGACCATTGATTATATATATATATATATATATATATATATATATATATATATATATATATATATATATATATATATATATATATAAACAAGTCTAAATTGAAAACATATATATATATATACTTCTGTGGTACAACATTTATGATATTTGTGCATTTTCTTTCCTTTAAAAGCACATTAGATATATATGGAAGGGTTATTTATAACAAAAAAACTTCACAAGTTTTAAAATTAGTGAAAAATATTAAATCTTAATACAAGACCCCCTCCCTCCCCTCATTAGAAAATCTCCATTTTCAGACACAGGTTCACATAACTTTTGTCTGTTGAATAATTGTTACAAAACTAATACTCAATGAGTATTCTTTTGCTTTAAATACATGATATATGACAGATACATTAAAACTATTTATGAATTAGGGCATGTCATAGGCATTTTTCTAATATGTTAAGTTTTTAGGCTTAAATCTTGTTACATGTAGTTGAACATTTTCCACTTATACAATGTATGTGCAAATTGAACACCCCAAGTTCAAATATAAAAATGGCCATTTTGTCTATCATCCTTTGATTTTTATTCACTATGAATAAAGTACCTGCGTAGCCTTTTAGACCAGATGAGCTCAAACAAAAAACTATGTACGTTATTTTTATGAAAGACGAATGTGAATCAGACTAAAGGTCAATATTGAGAAATATTTTTTATAGTTATATTTCATTCACATGACCCGAGTTATACACTGTGTCTTAACTACCCCGGCAAAAATGTTTGGACTCAATAGTATCTTATATCCGGAATGGTGACGGGCCATCAACAGACAGAGAAAAGGTAGGATTTCTGTTTACTTATTTGTTATTTTTGTGATATTGAAGAATATAAATACACATAGAACTACTTTCGATTGTGAGATGTGATTATTTTCTACAACTGTTCTAGATTTATGGAGAAATAAGTAAAAAGGGACATCAAAACGATGAATTGAGTGTTCTTGCCTCGAATTTGTTTAATTTCTCGTTGATTAGTGCACATTGTACGATAAGAAACATATTAACATGGAGATTTGCATGGAAAGAAAGAAATGGGTCATGTCAAAATTAAAGGACCCGGTTTTGTCAATGTGTACAACCCGGTTTCGTCCTAAAATTTTACAAAGCAGGACCCGGTTTTGTCATAGAAATAATGCAATTGCATAACGTAAATTAAAATCCGGCTTTCAACAAGATTTAGATGGTTCGTTGGAAAACGTTTCTTTCAGAGGCCAACATATTATTAATTTGATTCCGTAAACACTTAAATTTCTGCTTTATCGGAACAAAAATAGTTTTAATTGTGCTTTGTATGAAAACGAATACTTTAACGGGGAAATACCAAGAAATGAAAGTTGCATCGCAATTTGAGGTCTTTTAATATGAATTATGTAAATTTAAGTGTTCAAACTTCGATAGTGTACGGCCTTGAAAATTGAAGGACGCACATTTGATATGTGATTTTCTTGGAGAACAGGATGGGTATCTTGATGATATTCTACTATACCTAAAGGGGGGGGGGGGTGAACACTACATTAAAGCAAGAGAATAAGACAAATGTATATGCATGCAGAATCGCCCTAGAATATGAATTTTCATGCGGCGCAAAAGATCACAATAATTATGCGTTAAAAATCTTTTTTCCCCTCCTTGCAACCATTTTATTAAGTATAAAGAGTATAATAGCCTCAGGCCATCCAGAAAATGCAATAATGATTATTTTATTAATAATTTTATAACTAAACGGTTCTTTTATCTCTCCATTGTGTAATGCTTATCGTACATTGACAAATGTTCTACATTTTAATGACGTTGGTCAAGTTTATAATTGTCAATATGCAGGGGCGGATCGAGGATTTTTATTCACATTTAAAATGCATAATTGTAATATACATTTATTTAATATGTTAACTTGAAGTTTCCTTGGATTTTGAACTGTGAATTTGATTCACGCTTTAAAAGGCCTACAAAATTAAATGTGCTTACTGGCCAGCTGAAAATAAGGGAAACGTTGAAAATCCCACAGCTATGGTATGCTCAAGTGTGAAAACTTGCATTAGTACGAGTAACACAGCTTATATAGTACCAGAAAATTTAGCGGGGTTCCATGCATGATTAATTCGTACAGAATAGTATAAACTAAAGTCTTTTTCTGAATATCCGTCAATGAATGAATGAATGAGTAAATGATAGTAAATATATTGTAAACATAGCGTATAGTATAGTTCTGTTAAATTTACAAGGTGACACAATCATACCCCATCTTCTTTTTTTTACATCATTACATAATAGTATAGAAAACAAACAAACATCATAATGCTATAAAAGAATTTATGTAAGTGCATGCTATAAAGTATTTATATTCCATTTAAACTTTGTTCGAAGATAAGTGCAATAAGGTTTACGTATATCATTTGAAAAATGTGTACTCCCTTTTTCGAAAAGTTACCGTTTAAAATAAATTTTAACACGACAGGTTTGTTTTACAATAACATATTTATTGAATTTCTTTCGACGGACAATGTTCAGATCCGTGTTAACTTTGCTTTTCATAAATTTGTGGTTTTAAAACAAAACAAAACAAGGGTCCTATACAAAGACAAATCCGGGTCCTTCCATTTTGATATGACCCATTTCTTTCGTTCCATGCACAGAAATACAAATATTGAGGTGCGCAAAGTGACTAGTCTTGCAATCTCCATCTTGATATCTTTCTTTCCGTACCTTTCTTCCTGTACAATGTGCACAATTTAACGAGAAATTAAACAAATTCGAGGCAAGGTTCACTCAATTCATCATTTTGATGTGCATTTTTACTTATTTCTCCAATAATCTAGAACAGTTGTAGAAAATAGCACATCTCACAATCGAAAATAGTTATATGTATAAAAATAAAAATAAGAAGATGTGGTATGATTGCCAATGAGACAACTCTCCACAAGAGACCAAATGACACAGAAATTAACAACTATAGGCCACCATACGGCCTTCAACAACGACTAAAACTCATACCGCGTAGTCAGCTATAAAAGTTCTTCAATATATAAATAACAAATAAATAAACAGAAATCCTACCTTTTCTCTGTCTGTTGATGGTCCGTCACCGTACCGGATATTAGATACTATTGAGTCCAAACATTTTTTGCCGGGGTAGTTTAGACACAGTGTTATAAGTTTATAACTGAAAGGTTCTAAATAATTAGACATTTTACAAATTGTTCCGACAAAATTTGCGGTCCGCGGTTGATGACTAGCCCAGTCCCCGTATGTGGTATTGGACGCAGTAGCAATTAATCATCACAATTCTTGCACATATATTGTGGCAGAATATCATAATAGTATGTAAAGTTTAATCATTTTGATGTTCATCATGACACTATTTTTGCAGTAGTAAACACATCATTTTGATTACTTATAATTTTACCTTTCAATATGATGATTTTGGTTTTCACCTATTTTCAGTCATATCCTTGAATTTGACGATTGTTGTTTACACAATGCAAAGAAAAATCTATTTAATCTTACCCTTCAAAGTGATGAACTTGGTAAACACCCCTTTTTTGTTCAGGAGAAAATCAAAGGATGCTTTAACTTGGACAGTAATATTTAAATTTCCAGGTGTAATACCATTATATGTAATGTTAGAATAAGTTTCATTCCATTCTTGAAATGTTCCATTTACAAACCAAATGTAAGCATATGTGTAATCATTCTCAAATTCATCTGTCAAAACAGACGTCAGATTTAGTGGCTTTTGTGTTGCAAATGTTTGGTTATGTACATACATTTTGTCATTGAGTTGCTGTTTGATTGTCAGTTTTCCATTTAAAAACTCTGAAAAAATAAAGAATAAAGTATGAAAAAAGAGAGATGTGGGTAAAACATCAATCATACAGCAACTTGACATCACAGTTATACCAAAACAAGAGGTTCCGAAGATCATGAATCGCACACCTGTCAAAAATATAGCTTAAATTGGGCATTTTTACTGTTTACGGTAGTGAGTTTCCACCTATATATTTTATAGTTTTCAAAATATAAGGCAAAAACTAAACCAAAACTAAAAAAAAAAATCGTCATTCAATGACAGTAACTCCTACAAGGAGTCATCCAATAATTTCTATCATTTGAAATGTTTGTAAATTGCTGATCATTTTTGTTGTGTGCAGTTTTTACTAAAACCAGAAATTAGCAAAAAATCGTAATTTTACGGTAATAACTTCTATAATATAAGGAGTTATACAATATTTATCTTGCAGTGCTGATAATTTTTAACTGTTTTATTTTCTACCTATCTGTTATATTTTTCAATATAATAGTCAAAAACTCGAAAATTATAAATACATCGTCATTTAAAGGTAATAACTCCAATGAATAGTCATCTGATAATTTCTGCGCGTTTTTGTCCTTTTCGATTTTCTCTATCTCTTATAGTTTTCAAGATTATAAATGCATTTTATACTGATGTTCAATTTTTAGCAATGACAGCCATTTTGATTGGCACAAACAAAAAACAGAAATACCAAAAAAAGATAATGTAAAGATCATTTCGATAAAATTTAGGTGACATTGGTTCAGTAGTTTCAGAGATGAAGATATTTGAAAAGTTAAAGGCAACGACTGATGACGAATGACGACGACGACATATGTCTAGTGAATGCAATAGCATATAGGACCAGGCGAGCTAAATAGACATGAATAATTTTTATGCTTACAAATCTTTATTTCATATACAAACATGTGTGAACGGAAATTACAAATGAACCGTACGTTATTCATATACATGGCATATATGAGGTTCTTCACTGATCCATTGTTTTTAAATGAAAAAAAATAATCTTCAAACTGTTTGTATGGTGATTCATTTAAGAATTGAATGCTTCTTTTTGTAAATTCATTGGGGTGTAAAAGCGTTGACCGAAGTACATTTTGTATGAAGCGCGGAAGCGCTTCATTCTCAAAATGTACGCACGGTCAACGCTTTTACAACCCTATGAAATTACTAAAAGAAGCATTCAATACTTATAATTACAATTTTTCGCTATGATCATGAAAACACGATTACTATCAAGTTTTTCTTTTATTTACCTGTGCACTTTATTGTGGAAACGTGTGTCATCATGTATGTTTCAATTCATGCAATTCATTTTGAAATGATGAATGACGCGAGATTGCTGTTAGCCAATCAAAATAACGTATAATAATGAAACATTCATCTAATGTAATTATATAGCAATGGCTAATTCTATTAAATGAGACAGACAAAATTACCAACAACTTTCAATACATGTAATACAGTCATGTTTTCATGTTCTTATTTAAAGCCCTGTTTTCTTCATTCATTGTGTTTAAAGGCAGATGAATATATCTTCTGGTTATTATAATGTTAAGTAAATCATTAAACCAATGCATTGATATATACAAAACTAAGTCCTTTGTGAACTTTTTTTTATTTACATCTATTACGATCCAATAACATATAATCGACAAAAAATATTTAATTCGATGATTGCTGATCGAAAAATTGTGTCTTCTAATTAACTTTCGGGTTTTGATGCCAAAGTTTACCGATCGTGACCAATCAACAAATACTAATAGAGCGCGTGCTTAATAAGTTAGATGATAGATCGATGTTTTTTGGTTGTTTTTATATTTTCCATGCGTTCCCATTTGTTCCATGCGTTCCCGTTTGTTTATTAAACTTTATCATAACAGTTGTTACATGATTTGGAGTATTGCTATTTTTCTTCCACGTTTGTTTACTTTTTCGTCCATTATGGTTTTTACCTTCGCAATTTCCGAAATTCTAACGAAATTTGTCATGGTTAAAGTCACGGCATACGGAAAAGTTGTCGACAAATTAAAGTACGGGAAGACAAAAATTCAATAGCAGTACATTCTGAGGATTTTGTTCATACCTTGGGTAATTAAAAATGTAATTGTAATTTCCTGTAAAAAATAAAATAACAAAAATACATAACTCCAATGAAAATTCAAAACGGAAAGTCCCTTATCAAATGGCAAAATCAGAAGCTCAAACACATCAAACGAATGGAAAATAACTGTCATATTCCTGACTTGGTACAGGCATTTCCTTATGTAGAAAATGGTGGATTAAACCTGGTCTTATAGCTAGTATAGCTAGCTAAACCTCTCACTTGTATGACAGTCGCATAAAATTCCATTATATTGACAACAATGTGTAAAAAAAACAAACAGACATAATAGGTAAAAATGTCGAAAATAGTAATAAATTACAAATTGTAAGTTAAATCAAAGTAATGCGTAATTGATAATTTTTCTAAATACATTGTCATTTTGCAATGTATTTATGAATTACTTTTTAAATACTTTTAATTACGTTGGAGTTTTTGCTTGGAAGTTTAAAACTTATCTTTTATCCCTGGTGCACAAAAAGTAATCTGTATTTTTATCCCCCCCGCCGTAGCGGAGGGGCATTAAATTTTACTCTTGTCCGTCTGTACATGTACGTACGTACGTCCGTACGTCCCAAAATTGGTTTCCGTTCTCTAACTTGAGTTTGCCTCAACCAAGTGTTATGAAACTTATACACAATGCTAATTACCACAAAACACAGATCAAGTTTGAATTTTGGTGGCGTCACTTTAACCGTTCTAGAGTTATGCCCCTTTATAAATGGAAAAATTGCAAAATGTTTAGTTTCCGTTCTCTAACTTAAGTTTGCCTCAACCAAATGTTATGAAACTTATACACAATGCTCATTACTACCAAATACAGATCAAGTTTGAATTTTGGTAGGGTTACTTTAACCGTTCTAGAGTTATGCCCCTTTATAAATGGAAAAAATACAAAATTTTTAGTTTCCGTTCTCTAACTTAAGTTTGCCTCAACCAAATGTTATGAAACTTATACACAATGCTTATTACCACAAAACACAGATCAAATTTGAATTTTGGTGGCGTCACTTAACCGTTCTAGAGTTATGCCCCTTTATAAATGGAAAAATTGCAAAATTTTTAGTTTCCGTTCTCTAACTTAAGTTTGCCTCAACCAAATGTTATGAAACTTATACACAATGCTTATTACCACAAAACACAGATCAGGATTGAATTGTTCTAGAGTTATGCCCCTTTAAAAATGGAAAAATTGCAAAATTGCATCATCTGTGTCCATGGGGACACATTCTCCATTTATTTAATAAGGCATTAGTAGTAATAGGATTTACAGACAAAAACAATATTGTTTGAAGCTTTATCTGCAGGAACAACAACATAATTGTTGTGAAGAGAATTGTTTCTGAATACGGACTTAGGTCGAATATTTACACAGTTTTTCAACTTGTGGACCCTAATTGCGTTAACCCATTCTGACAATGTCTAGTTCGACCCTTTTTTGTTTTGTCCATGCTCTGGCGTAATCCTCAACGGAATCCATTATAATTTTAAAGTTATGGTTCCAATTGATGTGTTGTGACTCTCTGAAATTCTGACCATGAAATATCACCTTCCGGGGATGTTCATGTCGAAGTATATTTAGATCACCAGTAATTACATGGCCATAGGGCTTGTAAATATATGGAGAGTGCGAACAGTCACATGTCAGAGGGTTCTTCAAGTATTCTTCTAATTCAAGATCTTGCAATGCTTGTTTATATTTAAATATTTTAGGTGCAATTGTTTTGGAGTAACTATAGGAGACAATAGAAACAGACTGATTTTGAAAATAAGGCGGAATTTTAGATGTTACTTCTTTGTGATGAAGAACGTTGCTGATGTTGATAGCATCGATTCTTTTATTTGAAAACTGAATTGGAAGGGTGGATGTAAGCAATTATAGGCAACTACGGTCTTCAACAATGAGAAAAACCCTGTATATTTGGGAAAATATATCTAGACCTCATTTGTCAAGTGCATAATCTCTTAAACATTTAAGAAAAGTTACAGGCAGTGACAAAAGAATGGTACGTCGAATGTAATGTAACCCATGCCGATGATGGTGATGTGAATAAAGGTCATTAAATTCCCGGTGAGGGATCTAGATTTTGAAGACTTTTTTACGTTTGGACGATGGTAATGTTTTTGTCGAGCCTTCGACTTTTGTCGAATAAGCGAGACATAGCGATCATACATTCCGTCGGCGTCGTCGTCGTCGTCGGCGGCGTCCACAAATATTCACTCTGTGGTTAAAGTTTTTCAAATTTTAATAACTTTCTTAAACTATCCTTGATTTCTACCAAACTTGGACAGAAGCTTGTTTATGATCATAAGATAGTATCCAAAAGTAAATTTTGTAAAAACAAAATTCCATTTTTTCCGTATTTTTCTTATAAATGGACTTAGTTTTTCTGCCAGGAAACATTACATTCACTCTGTGGTTAAAGTTTTTGACATTTTAATAACTTTCTTAAACTATCCTGGATTTCTACCAAACTTGGACAGAAGCTTGTTTATGATCATAAGATAATATCCAAAAGTAAATTGTGTAAAAAAAAGAATCCATTTTTTCCGTATTTTACTTATAAATGGACTTAGTTTTTCTGCCAGGAAACATTACATTCACTCTGTGGTTAAAGTTTTTGAAATTTAATAACTTTCTTAAACTATCCTGGATTTCTACCAAACTTGGAAAGAAGCTTGTTTATGATCATAAGATAGTATCCAGAAGTAAATTTTGTAAAAAAAAAATCATTTTTTCAGTATTTTACTTATAAATGGACTTAGTTTTTCTGCCAGGAAACATTACATTCACTCTGTGGTTAAAGTTTTTAAAATTTTAACAACTTTCTTAAACTATCTTGGATTTGTACCAAACTTGGACAGAATCTTGTTTATGATTAAAAGCTAGTATCTAGA